ATGATGGGTTCCAAATTCTGTGAATAAAAATAAGTCAGATAAAAAGAGAAATATTTATTTTTATTTTTAATTGAGTCTGTGACATTCAATAAACTTTAATGAATGTCACAGATTAATTTAAAAAGAAACTACAATTCTACTGATTGTACATAATCTACAGGTCATCACACTTTGTTGGGTAGTGGTCCCACTTCCCCATGAAACACCCTAAAAAAAAAAAAACCCAGGGGAGAATTCCCTCCCTGTTTGAGAACCCCTAGTCTAGACAGACAGTGGTTCGAGCCCCTCGATCACCCTCCTGTCTATTCATTGACAGTTCTTTATTTCAATTCAATTTGAGTTCAGACTTGTAAGAATATAATGCCAATGATTTACATTCGGTTTCTATGCTTGAAGGACTGTAGAAGCAGTGAAAAAGACTAGAGGAAATTAAAACGACAGAGGAAGAGATGAAGAGGCCTCTAAGGAAATGAGAAACAATGAAAGCACCAGTGCCAGCCAGGATATTACAGATGTATTGGGAAAAAGTGGACTGGGACAATACGTCTCTGTGGTGGAGACTGACAGTGTCAGGAAAAATCGAACTGGAAAGTAGACCATTTTTTTCTCATGTTAGCGTAGTGTCTAAGGTTTTACAAATAATTCTCAGAGATTAATAGAACACCCAAGCACATAAGAGTTAGCAAGTCTAATGTTCAGTGATAGTAAATTCTGTTATGCCAATCTCCTAGAGTTCTATGATAGTAAAGGAAATAAATTCTAATCTGTGAAAATAATATATGAGTTAACAATTTGTTTTAATATAAACAACATGAATAAATTTATTAAGAATTTTATCCTCAGTGCTCTCACGAAATTAAATTAAGAATTATTACACGCTGGATTTTTTTTTTTTTTAGGTTCAAGCCTTCGTTCTCTAAAATTGTGCGTTCGTGCTTGGTATGCCAGTATACCATTATGAGACATACTTCTCAGTATACTAACAGGTATACTTCAGGGCCCAAATTTCTGAGCACCTAGGTAAATTAGTTAAGACATGTTCACTGCGTCGTGGCTAAGAGGGTCGGATAGCCAATCACAGGTGTCTCAATTAAGTCAGGACAACCATCCATCTCTTTTGTTAAAGAATACTTAGGCACTCTACCATCAGATGTTAGCTTCTGTTGTCTATGTTTCAAGTGGTTGCTCTTCTCACGTGGAGCTCAGGACAGCATATATAATACAGTCACAGAAAGTTGTATTTCTCTCAGGGCATATATGCCGAAAGTTAACGCTAATCCCTATTTTAGAGATTAAAGTATTTTTGTCTAATGATGAAAAGGTTACCCTATTGTATTAGGTTGTCTTTAAATCTCATTAACCAACCAACCATCAGGAGAGCAGAGGCTCTGCTTTTATGCTCTTCAAGACAAGAAAGGGAGGGGGCCTTGATTAAGGTGAAGGGCTCTTGATCCAAGAAATCTAAGCCATTATATCCTTCCTTAGATCAAACTTTATTATCTCCCATTCCCAAGGTACTGAATGACATCATAGGGCTTAGCACTTCCCAATGAATAATAATAATAATAATAATAATAATAATAATAATAATAATAATAATAATAATAATAACAACAACAATAATAATAATAATAATCTGCACTCTATATTCATCTTAAGCAGCACAGGTGAAAGGTTTCCTACACACTGCAGTGTTTTCAAGAAGTTTATACATTTTTGACAGTATATTAATGTGATAAATACACATGGTTAGCTTGTTGATTAGTTGGGCTTAAAGCCTAGCGCCTACACGATGGTTATTAACGTTGCATACTACCTATCAAAAGTATTTTAATCCCTCTTTTAGGGATTAGAATAAACTCTCAGAGTATTTACGCTGAGAAACATACATCTGTCGGTGTATGTACTCTCTGTGAGTAATCGTGTATGATTATGCGCGGATATCTTTACATTATACACACACACACACACACACACACACACACACACAAATATATATATATATATATATATATATATATATAATATATATATTATATATATATATATATATATATATATATATTATATATATATATATATATATATATATATATACATATACATATTTCCATTTTTTCAATTTTTGCCATTCTGTCTTTCCTTTGTCTCTCTCATTCCTTCATAACCAATCGTGGCATCGGAAAACAAAGAAGGGAAATAAAATATGATAGTACTACATCAATATTTACTTGTATAAAAATATAAACTTGTTAATACAACTGAAACTTAACCTTGTAAAGTCGTGTAGACACGGAGATCACTGACAGAGGCAAACTTAACCTAATACACACGTATTACACATATAGATATAAAACTCCATCTTGGAAAAGGGTGAGGTTTTAGAGAAGAATTTCGGGGATTATGGAAAAAAATTGTCCCAATGTAAACATTGACTCTTGTCCTTGGGTAGAGTAGATTAGGAACCAGGAACTGAAGGAAGACTCGAATCTAAAGATCAGCAACGTATTTTGTTGAAGATTGTCAAAGACGAGCATTTTCTCTTCCAGTAGTAGATACGGGGGAACAAATAGCACTTTTAAAAAGACTTGGGCTTGAAGGAATGTAGTCCGTTGGGTCTGGGGTGTGGGAAGAGAGAGAGGTCGAGATCAAGGGTTATGAGTGCATAAGCTACATGTGAGTTAGACACAAGTAAATATGATCACTCACACAGGCGTGAGCATTTACATGATAGCTCTGTGCTTTACAAATGAACAGTCATGATTTATTCAGACAGTAGAGCTATAGTGAGTTACATGATATTCATAAGAATTTTACACATACTTTGGAATAGTTTGACCATTTAACTATATTACTGAACACGTTGTACATATGGAAGAAAATTTACACATACGAAAATACTTAAATGTCAGTATACATAAGACTGCATGAATAAATTGATGCACATATTGATAATAATATATATATTATATATATATATATATATATATATATATATATATATATATATATATATATATATATATATATATATATATACATTTAACAGGTTAAGGAGACATACACACATACAAAAGAAAATAAATGATAATTTTACCATGAAAATAAATATAGTTATTTATATATAATTCAATAGTACAGGTGACTGAACACTTAACTTGTATTAAACATCTTAGTGAACACAGTGGGATACAAAATACTAATATATGCAACACGACTTCAGTATTTCAGAGATTTATATAGAGCATTGCTTCACAAAATCCGTGAATGCTATTCATTACAGGAATTAACATACAAGCAGTGAAACAATCTGCATACTTTCAAGTAACATGACATGTCCTGGGAGGTGCCTCAATGCTGATGATAGGCTCCTATTCCCATTGGGGTTTAGAAATCCCCGTGGATATAACAATATTCAAGTAACATGATCAACAATTATATATTATATATATATAATATATATATATATATATATATATATATATATATATATATATATATATATATATATATATATATATTATATATATATATTATATATATATAAATATATATATAACATATATATATATTATAATATATATGCAATAAGATCACAGTAAACAGTGATTTCAGAAATGCAAAACAACCCTCTGAAAAAATAGAGAAATTCCAAGCGCTTTCGTGACTACTCCATTATCAAGGATAATGTGAGTAGTCACGAAAGCGCTTGGAATTTCTCTATTTTTTCAGAGTGGTTGTTTTGCATATATATATATATATTATATATTATATATATATATATAGTTATATATATATATATATATATATATATATATATATATATATATATATATATTATAATATTATATATATATAAACAGTTAACACACAAATGCTAATACTTAGAACTGGTACAACAACAACACTGCAGATGTTCTCAAACACATCGAAATGCAACATAATTGTCAACTTGGAAATTTATTTAGGGAAACATAGGTATGAACTTATTTATGCTCATGATACTTCCTTTATTCCCGATTTTTCTTTTACTACTTTACAGGAAAGAGTCAAAAAATAAGATAACAATAGCGTGAGGTTAGCGTGGCTCTGTACGGCTTAAGGGGATGGGGGGGGGAGTAAGGTTGCATTAATGCTGGAAAATAGCTCTTGATCCAACGAAGTAAAGCTAGCCTCTTTCCTGGAAAAAGTTTGATTATAACTTCTGTTAATCGTGTGGAGCATGACCTTACGGGCTTAGCACTTCCCAGTGAATATTATACTACTACTACTAGACTAAATAAGTTGTTTCAGAGCCAAAAGTCTGAGTCGTTTAATCTAATAATCATCATTGAAGTGTATGCTAAATCTCTGACATCTTTTACCAGAAAAGATGGAACACATTTGTCTACAGACGTCAAAAACTTTCTACTATTCTGAGTACACGGTAACTAATGAACTTTGCCGTGTTGGCACACACTATCCTAGCACATCATAAACCAAATCAGATACAGCAAGTAACACTTATCTTCCGTGGTTAATATAACCAAACTTGAGAGACCACAGTTCATAAATGTTATGTAAACACCTACGTACAATAAGTCTAGTATTAACACTTAGTCAAAGAGAGCCTTTGATTAATTTTTGATTTACATTTACTGTAAGGGCTGGGTCGGGCAGAAAGGTAACCTAGTGTTCTGTTTCCAATGAAGTCACAGTATTTTGACTTGTATTCTAGTTGCAAAACGTTTCAAAGTAAAATTAATAGGCATTTAGTTTACTGAGAACTGGTAATTGCAATAGCTTAATAACTCATATGTTATTGATGACACATACAAGCATTCAAATGATTTGTGGGAGAAAGCGCAACATTTTTTTGCTGAAACCCTTTAATTTTTTTTCCGAGGCCATGGGTCTCCAACGTCATCAGAGGTGGTAGCAAATAATATATATATATATATATATATATATATATATTATATATATATATATATATATATATATATATATATATATATATATATATATATATATATATATATATATATATTACTCGTGAAACACACAAGTCACCTCTACGCAGCAAAATAACAAACATATGGCAGGGAACTGGCAGGTCCACTCACACAGATGGACGACTTCCTGCAGAATGACAGTATATCAATGTGTTTAGAGATAATGATGCCCTGAACAAGTGCCAAACAGAACCCTTAAAAATGAAGGACGACTGGGTCGCCGGGGAAGAAGCCGGAGCTGTCTTGGCTGAAGGCGTCATACTGGTGCTTGATGGGGTACCTCGCCACAGCCTCCAGGGAGGGCACGGCGAGACGGGCGTGTCTCAGGGGCACGCTGCCGTAAAGGGTGTTGATGCGCTCAAGCCCCAAGACGCGAGTGTCGCCGTCAGTGGTGAAGAAGGATCCCCAGTAGGTACTCATTAGGTCGCATCCGGCGTCGTGCTCCATGGAATCCCCGATCATGCCCTCGGCTGCTAGCTCCTCCACGATGGCTACTGTGTCAATTCCCATCAGTGATGGAGCTATAACGTCCTGTGCCAGATGGTCCCCAACGTACAGGCAGTGTGGATTATCTACGCAAGCTTCCTGCTTCACCAGGTTCAATAGATCTCTCCAGTTGCCTCCTGAGTAGTTTCCGTCGATGCGTAGTTTATGTGAAGGAACTGCGTCGCCATCATCAGCTCCTACGAGGAAGCGGAAAGGCCTTTCTCCAGAGAAAAACCCAGGTTTTTTGGCTGTGCATATTATCATGTCGAAGTATTCTCGCCAATCTGGACCCAGGACATATCTGGCGTTGTGAGAGGCATAATCGATGCTGGAGCCAGTTATAAGGAATGTGAAAGTGTGTTCGTTGATGGCTTTGAGCCACTTTTTTAACTTGTCACTGGCTTCATAAATGTACTTCTCCGGGTTATTCTTAATCTCTGGGAAGAAACCTCCCTGGTCATTACGGAAATGTTCTCTACGATACATGTTGCACATGGCAACATGAACATCTGGCCAGATGTCGTACTCCTCCAGGGGTCCTTCAGGTGAGCTGTCCTGTGCATCAATCGCCCTTGCACAGGCTACAGCTGCTGGTAAATCAAGATAGTCTTTGAATGATCGCAGGACTGGAACTTCGCCGGGCACAGGGTGATCGTAAAGCGTTCTCATAAACTCAACGACTGGCTCCCAGATCCTGTCTTTGCCGTAGGTGTCATGGATTTCATCTCTAGTCATGGGTCGAGTCCCGTGAGTGGCTCGGAGAATACGACCATTTTCTGCACACTTCATAAAGTTTCCCCTTTTGATATCCAGAATGAGTCCTTTCTGCAGGAAATCCATATCATCGTCCAAAGGCAGGAGCAGTTCTGGTTCGTAACCATAACGATTTACCATATACTCGGCGATAAGGTTGTACTCTAGTCTCATAATTTCACCCACTTTGTACCGGCAGATTGTGTTGTCAAGATCAAATCCGATGCAGTCATAGTCTGTAAACTTGAAGGTGTCATTTTCAGGAAAGGGCTGCTGCTTCTTTCTTTTGTTGTTCTTGCAGTAGTATTTTTTCTTCATGACCTTTTCACGAAGACAGTCCTCCTCATTCACTTTGTGGAGCACCATCCTGGCGGTGAAAGTGTAGCTTGCCTCTTGGTACTCGCTGCACTCTACTGAGATGAACCACTCGGGCATTCAGATGCACAATATCTTGTTAGGCCGATGGTGTCCTGGGAAACTTCAGTAATTAAAAAAGAAGTCAGACACAGCAAAATATCACGCCTCGTCTATGACTCACTCTGAGCTTCTTAAAGATGTGAAACTTGAGATTTTTTTATTTGGACATGAAGCAGTAAGAAGCTGAACTCCTCCAGTCTACACACAACTACTTGGCTCTTCGTTCTCTGCTGCTCCTGTGCATTATAACACCAGAGTCACTGTCTCTTGCAGAGCCAATGAAACTATTATTCCTGGTTACTGTGTCATCAGCACTAAGCGGTCACTGAAGGAGGTTGCAGGTAATGCTCAGCAAACTGACAGTAACCTGAAGCATTCATGGTGCTGCAAGGTGGTTTTTGGCTACATACAGGAGAGAACCAGCTCCCGTGTGTGTTCCACAGCGTCGCAACTGCTACTGAGGGTCCTTGCGCTGCCCGGTGCCCGGTGCCTGCAAGACCCCGTGCCAACGCCAAACCCTTCACAGTGTCTCCCTCCCCCCAGCTTATCCCCCTCACCCTTGTGCCCAAATCCTCGGAAGCTACCCCCCCAACACCTACTACCCCAAGCCACCTGCAGACCAGTTACACGTGCCACACCCTCCCACACCCCTTCTTCCTCTCATCTTGTAGTGGCTAGCGACGGACTTTTTTTTTTCTTGTACCTAAAGCACAGCTCACGCCCATGTGAGCGATAAAAGATCAAATTTGAACGTTTCCTGAATTTCTTCGACCACCCTGTTGCAAGACACATCAGGCCAATTTTTTTTATTTGTAGCTCCCCCATAAATCGTTTCTTTTTTTTAGGTTTATATAACCTACCCTGACCCAACCTGATGTAATCTAAACCTAGCCTAACCTAAACTATATAAAAAATGTCATTTAAAAATCCATAGGAAAAGCTAAGAAATTGACGTAGGGGCCCAAGTAAAGACACTGACGTACTAAACTGAAGGCAGGTTGCACACTGAGCTTCACAGTACCTCATGACCAACATCTTACTTGCAACCCGGCTTAAAATATTTACATTTCCCCCTCGACAGTATTTTTAAGTACACTAGCTAAACTTTTCTTCTCAGTGCGACGTGACTGCCTCAAGATGAACATTCAGGGGAAAGTCCGAAGCATGTACAGACGAAGATAGACTCATGTTACTTAAGACTGCGAAAGAAAGATATCGCACTCACGCATGACTGTAAGATAAATTAATTGATGTGATTATGTGCCGTGAAAGATGTCAATGATAAACATTGAAATGTCAGTTGTCAGTTCAAATGTATATTAGTGACCTTGTTGTCTTCTCTAAGAAGCGTTTCATATTTTTTATCTTATTTTTATAATTACGAGTTTCTACAAGGGTTAGATTCGGAGTTCTTGCATCTGTTAGGAATTCTAAGGAGGTTATTCATAATTTGTTCGTCCATAAACAACTAATGGTTACTAACCTACCTCAGTTTCTTTTTAAAGCATTATCTATAGCATAATCTACATACACATAATGTAAAGGTTCGGCTCTATTTGCTATATATATATATATATATATATATATATATATATATATATATATATATATATATATATATATATATATATATATATATATATATATATATATATATATATATATATATATTGAAGACAGAGAGAGAGAGAGAGAGAGAGAGAGAGAGGGAACAGAGAATATATAGGAAGAAGTTGAAGCCATCCCGGGACTGACGAATTTATTTAGTCAATTCACTTTATTTCTCTAATATTTTTCAGTAGTTGAGGCACACCAAAGCAAGCAGTCAGGATGAGAAGAACGAGAATAACCTTGAGATTTGCGGCTGACACCGATGTCTTCTTTGGTGATCCAACAGAACAAACTGGCCCACCAAGAAGACGTGACCAACCAAGGCAGAGTGACCCAAATGCAAGGGGACCCATCATGCAGAAGACTTACCATGCAGGGAGACTCACCACGCAGGGGACCCATCATGCAGAAGACTTACCATGCAGGGAGGCTCACCGTGAAGGGGACCTATCATGCAGAAGACTTACCATGCAGGGAGGCTCACCGTGCAGGGGACCTATCATGCAAAAGACTTACCATGCAGGGAGGCTCACCGTGCAGGGGACCCATCATGCAAAAGACTTACCATGCAGGGAGGCTCACCGTGCAGGGGACCTATCATGCAAAAGACTTACCATGCAGGGAGGCTCACCGTGCAGGGGACCCATCATGCAGAAGACTTACCATGCAGGGAGGCTCACCGTGCAGAGGACTCATCATGCAGAAGACTTACCATGCAGGGAGGCTCACCGTGCAGGGGACCTATCATGCAGAAGACTTACCATGCAGGGAGGCTCACCGTGCAGGGGACTCATCATGCAGAAGACTTACCATGCAGGGAGGCTCACCGTGCAGGGGACCTATCATGCAGAAGACTTACCATGCAGGGAGGCTCACCGTGCAGGGGACCCATCATGCAGAAGACTTACCATGCAGGGAGGCTCACCGTGCAGGGGGGACCTATCATGCAGGCAGACTCGCTATGCCGGGAGACTCACTCGTGTAGTAATGCATCAAGGTAGCATGATCCAGAAAGAAGAAAAGTCACCATCACTCGATATTTTGTTGACTTATATGGAAGTACATTGTTGACTGTACTTCCATATAAGTTCAGGATCTGCGTTTCTTAACATCAAAAACTCAAGATTTTCTAACCAGTTATCCTGAGTTCTTTAATAAACAAACAGAAAAACCCTAAAATACAAAAATTCCAGGAAAAAAAATTACTTTTATGATCAAAGATAGTATGTAAGGTCCTTGGATCAAACCCCTTATTTCTCACTTAATGCATACTCCTCTCAGATTTATTAATAATCATTTGTCTTATCCTGCACATGACAGACAATCAGAAGAACGTCACAGTATGATATGACAGAGGTAAAACTTGTTTTTAAACTATGTGTAGAGTGGAACCTAGGTGTTCGAACGTACCGAATCTCGAAGAATTTTGTTCAGAAAAAATTACTCGGTCTTTAAATGTTTTTCTCGAGTCAGAACATGCTGACCTGTTTAAAATTCAGTTGTGAAAAATCTTTACAGGGAAGCCCTGTTTCAAAAGTGCTTTGAAGTGGCCTTTGACATTGACCTAACTCTCAGAGACTTTTGGAAGTCAGTTCAACATCCTCCAGAGTGTGAGGCTGATAAAGCCTAGGAACCAATTAAGTTCAAACACCTAGGCTCCACTGTATACGAGTCAAAGCAGTGTTGACTATTAGAAGAGACTATAAGTAGAGATGACGTGCGGAGAGATGATCCACCATGAATGTACCTTGTGATCTCATTAACCTTGTTGGGACCAACAGTGGTGTTCCAACAATGCTGCCCAGACAGAAAATCAGCAGACATAAACCCTGGGTGTGTCTCTCCCGATAGGAGAAGAGACTTTTGATAGACCAGTAGGAATGTGGCAGACTCTGCGACCTCACTAGCTTCTATATGCCACACATTTTTAATTCGAGTAAGCGTGTGACCCCTTCCACCTCCCTTCAAAAAAAAAAAAAATACTCGTCTGCCACACTTCCTACTTTAGAAGTAACCAATGATTTTTTTTTTAATAAAAGTATATAGGAAGTTAAAAATAATCTGGAGCCTGAAGCACACTTAGGGAACTCTTAAAAATTGATGAATATACATCCAGCACAATAAGAAATATCAATAGGATGACAAAATTATTTCCAGTAATATTATTTCCGCTATAGTGGCTCCAGTCAGAGAGAACCTCCATATACTGAACTCCTGTAAGAAATCATGAAACGTGTGACTGCAAATATGAAAAAATAATACAGTAAAAATAGGATATAAAACCTGAGTGCTTTCTTGTGCTTACACTACCATCTTGCTGTCACTACCATCTTGCTGTTACTACCATCTTGCTGTCACTACCATCTTGCTGTTACTACCATCTTGCTGTCACTACCATCTTGCTGTTACTATCATCTTGCTGTCACTACCATCTTGCTGTCACTACCATCTTGTTGTTACTACCATCTTGCTGTTACTACCATCTTGCTGTTACTACCATCTTGCTGTTACTACCATCTTGCTGTTACTAACATCTTGCTGTTACTACCATCTTGCTGTCACTACCATCTTGCTGTCAATACCATCTTGTTGTTACTACCATCTTGCTGTTACTACCATCTTGCTGTCACTACCATCTTGCTGTTTCTACCATCTTTCTGTTACTACCATCTTGCTGTTACTACCATCTTGCTGTTACTACCATCTTGCTGTTACTACCATCTTGCTGTCGCTACCATCTTGCTGTCACTACCATCTTGCTGTTACTATCATTTTGCTGTTACTACCATCCAGCTGTTACTACCATCTTGCTGTTACTAATATCTTGCTGTTACTACCATCTTGCTGTCACTACCATCTTGCTGTCACTACCATCTTGCTGTTACTACCATCTTGCTGTTACTACCATCTTGCTGTTTACTACCATCTTGCTGTTACTACATCTTGCTGTCACTACCATCTTGCTGTTACTACCATCTTGCTGTCACTACCATCTTGCTGTCACTACCATCTTGCTGTCACTACCATCTTGCTGTTACTACCATCTTGCTGTTACTACCATCTTGCTGTTACTACCATCTTGCTGTTACTACCATCTTGCTGTTACTACCATCTTGCTGTCACTACCATCTTGCTGTTACTACATCTTGCTGTCACTACCATCTTGCTGTCACTACCATCTTGCTGTTACTACCATCTTGCTGTTACTACCATCTTGCTGTTACTACCATCTTGCTGTTACTACCATCTTGCTGTTACTACCATCTTGCTGTCACTACCGTCTTGCTGTTACTACCATCTTGCTGTCACTACCATCTTCGTGTCACTACCATCTTGCTGTTACTACCATCTTGCTGTTACTACCATCTTGATGTTACTACCATCTTGCTGTTACTACCATCTTGGTGTCACTACCATCTTGCTGTTTCTACCATCTTGCTGTTACTACCATCTTGCTGTTACTACCATCTTGCTGTCACTACCATCTTGCTGTTACTACCATCTTGCTGTCACTACCATCTTGCTGTCAATACCATCTTGCTGTTACTACCATCTTGCTGTCACTACCATCTTGCTGTTACTACCATCTTGCTGTCACTACCATCTTGCTGTTACTACCATCTTGCTGTCACTACCATCTTGCTGTCACTACCATCTTGCTGTCACTACCATCTTGCTGTTACTACCATCTTGCTGTTACTACCATCTTGCTGTTACTACCATCTTGCTGTTACTACCATCTTGCTGTCACTACCATCTTGCTGTTACTACCATCTTGCTGTCACTACCATCTTGCTGTCACTACCATCTTGCTGTTACTACCATCTTGCTGTTACTACCATCTTGCTGTTACTACCATCTTGCTGTTATACCA